CTATTACATGCAAGCAGCAAACAACAAGAAAAGATTCTTAGTATGTCCACACTTCAAGGGGAAAGGATGAAGGCCCACATCCCAGGAGCAACAGCAAAGGTTAGAGGAGTTATATCAGGAGTCCCTTTGAATATGTCAATGGAAGATGTTAAAAATGAGATTCAGGGAGGCAAAGCAGTTGAGGCTACTAGACTAAAAAGCAAACGAGATGGATCATTAAAAGACACACTATCTGTGGTTGTGCAATTTGAGAGAACCCTCCCTAAGTCAGTCCAAATGGGATACATAAATTACAGCGTGAGAGAATACATCCCTCCCCTATCAGATGCTATAAATGTCAAAGGATGGGGCACACAGCTCAGCAGTGCAAAGGAAAGCTAAGGTGTGCTAGATGCGGGGGCCAGCACAAGTATGGAAATTGTGAAAAGGATGCAAAGATTAAATGTTGTAACTGTGGAGGAGAGCATAGTGCTGCATTTGGTGGATGTGAAGTGCGAAGAGAAGCCAGAGAAGCCCAAAAGGTGAAGATATTGAACAAAGTATCATATGCAGAAGCTCTAAAGAAAGTAAGAAAAACAGGATCAAATAACAAAAACTCCAGTGGAATTGTCCAAAGAAACATAACAGCAGTTAATCAGACACAAAACCAGATTCCAGCTCACACACAGAATGGTTGCGAGCATAAATGTAAAGTTGATGATGATACGTTGATAGTGAAAAAAGTGAACTTTGTGGGTTTCATATGTCACACCATCAATGAAAAGTGACAGAATTAAGGCTATTGTAGAAGCAGCAGGAAAACCTCTTGATATGAAAGATATAAAGCAGATCAAATACATGTGTTGACGGTAACTGAAAATGGAAATACACAAACTGAGGGTTAGGACGCTTATAATGGTTCTTCACATACTACAGTGGAACGCAAGAAGTCTTATAGCTAATGGTCAAGAATTCAAAAACTACATTCATGAATTAGATGTTGTTCCAGATGCAATATGTGTACAAGAAACTTGGTTACGAGACTAGATTTGTGATATCAGGGTTTAGTGCTATAAGGTACGATAGACCTAACAACCAAACTGGTGGAGGGTGCATCACCTTTATCAAGGATAGGTTGGCCTACAGGGAATCCCCAAGCTCAGAAGATTCAAATGTATAATAGCTGAAATCTATAGCCCAAGGAAAGAGGGAAACATTAAATTGATTAATTTCTATAACCCATGCAAAAACTTAGATATCAATAAACTGAATGAAATGGCAGGGACTGTATACAGGAAAGACATATGGTGTGGAGACTTTAATGCAGACAACAGCTTATGGGGCAGCAATCACACAGATAATAATGGGGACATAATTGAAGAAATGATGGAAGAAAGATCACTGGTCTGCATTAATAATGGACAGGGAACACGAATGGATGTGAACAGGGGTAAAACATCATGTTTAGATATCACACTGGTATCAGATAATTTGGTAAAAGCATGTGAATGGTTTGTTATGAATGATTCTACCATAGGAAGTGACCATTTTCCAGTTCTCACTATTATTAACACAAATGTATGTTTCCAAGAAGAAAGTACGAGTAACAGATGGTGCTTTGAGAAAGCAGACTGGGAAAAATTTAGGTTATGTTGTACGAAGTCAGCAAACCTTGGGACGTTTGAAGGTGAAATTACAGAACACATTATAAATGCAGCACATTTAAGTATTCCAAACAGAACAACAAAGGGCAGGAAGAAAGTGGTCCCTGGTGGAATGAGGAGTGTAGCAGAGCTACAAAGCCTTTAAAACATTAAAGAAGAATTTATCACAAGAGAGTGTTTTGGATTTTCAAAGGAAAAGGGCAGTGGCACGTAGGACAATTAATTTAACCAAAAAGAAAAGTTGGAGAGAGTTCTGTTCCACCATAGGTAGAGGTGTAGAGTTAGGGGATATATGGTCTATGTTTAAAAGAATGAGTGGGAAAAGGAAAGCGATTAAAATCCCAGCTTTGATAGATGGAGGAAAGACGGTGGTGTCAGACAAAGAAAAGACAGAGATGTTGGGTAGGGCTTTTGCGGCTGTGCATAGTGGTGATCACCTTATGGATATTCATAAGCAACAGAAAGACCTGGCACTCAGAGAAAATAAGGACGTGAAGCTGAAGAGGGAGGATGGTACAACAACTTTAGATGTGGATTTTACAATAACAGAACTCAATATAGCTCTGCTTGGCACGGGATATACAGCCCCAGGACAAGACCAGTTATGTTATGCCATGTTCCGACAGCTGCCAGTAGGGTCAAATAAGCTAGTGTTAAGACTGTTCAATAAAATATGGAAGGATGGAGTAATACCGAGAAGTTGGAAAAGTGCAGTTATACTACCGTTTAGCAAACCTGGTAAAGACCCAACCAATCCTGGTAATTATAGACCCATAGCTCTGACATCACACTTATGCAAACGGATGGAGAGGATAATAGTTCGTAGGTTATCACATGTAATGGAACAGAGAGGACTACTGAGTAATATACAAAATGCATTTCGGAAAGGGCGCTCCACAACAGATGCTCTCGTTAAGTAATGAGGTAGAAAAGGCACTGAAAATGAAAGAGCTGATGTTAATAGTGTATTTTGACATTGAGAAGGCATATGATACTATGTGGAGGGAAGGACTACTTATTAAACTAAATAGAATGGGGTTTGAAGGAAGGATTTATAACTGGATACTAGACTTTTTAACAGATAGGAAAATTAGAGTAAAGGTTGGATCAGAAATTTCTACAGAGTTTAAGGTAAATAATGGCATTCCACAGGGGAGCGCAATTATTTCAACATTATGATTAATGATATTTTCAGATTTAGATGGACACATCAAATCAGCGTTATACAGATGATGGGGCCATATGGATGAGAGGAAGAAATGAGTCATATGTGTTAGAGAACATTAGGAAAGCAATAGGGAAAGTAGAGAAGTGGTCATTCAAGTGGGGATTTAAAATATCAACAAGCAAATCCTGTTATATGGTGTTCACAAACAAGCGAAAGTGTCATGTAGAAAAGCTTTTTCTATATCAGCAGCCAATGGAAAAAGTAAATGAATTTAAGTATTTGGGATTGTGGTTTGATAGTAAGTACACATGGAAAACACACAGCAATTGGAAACTAAATGCAAACAAGTTATTAATTTACTGAGAGCGGTGGCGGGATGTGACTGGGGTGCAGATAAACAGTCACTAATTGACATATATAGAGCATGCATGAGGTCATTAATAGATTATAGTTGCATAGTATATGATGCAGCAGCAAAAACAACATTGGAAAAAATTAATAAATTACAATACAGAGCTTTACGGAGATGCATTGGAGCCATTAAGACAACTCCCATTAACACAATACTCATAGAAGCTGGAGAGACACCACTGGAGTTAAGAAGAGAGAAACTAGCGCTAGCATATTGGGTCAGATTGAAAGGAAGTGGGAAAGAAAACCCTGCAAAGGAGATAACAAAGGATTGTGGAGAGTATTTCAAGTTTCGGGGGCATGGGTTTGGATGGACGGGGGAAAAGAGAGTCAGGGAATACAGAATGGAAGCATTAGATTTCAGCACACCCAGTCCAGTCAGTAACATTCAACCTTGGCTCTATCCAGACATGAAAACAGATTTTAGTATACTGGAAAAGAAAAGAGGATGGAGAATAGAGGAAGTGGGAATACGGACTAGCAGCTATCTGAGAAACAGTTTCCATAATTATCTAAAAATCTATACAGATGGATCTAAAAACAAACAGGAATGTGTGGGAACTGGAATATATATACCAGAATTCAAAATAAATATCTCAAAACGATTATCAGATAGGCTATCTGTATATACAGCATACAGTCATTATAGCATTACAGTGGGTTGAAGAGGTCAGACCTGATAGGGTGATATTATGCACAGACTCCTTAGCAGTTATTAAAAGCATTCAGTCAATGACATCTGTCAGAGAAGACCTATTGATAGAAATGTTTCACAACTTGTTAAGATTACATCGGGGAGGGACAGATGATCAGTTTTGCTGGGTGCCAGCTCATGAGGGAGTAAATGGAAATGAGATTGCACACAAACTAGCAAAAGAGGCATTACAAAAGGAAATAACAGTTCAAATACCTCTAGGAAAAGGAGATGGAAAAACAGCCATTAAGAAGAAAGGTACTGAAATATGGCAGAAATGGTGGGAGGAAGACAGGAAAGGAAGGAGTTACTATAAAATACAAAAGTCTGTCAGTAATAAAAATTATAGCGAAAGGAGCAGGCGGGAGGAAATTATTATGACAAGACTAAGAGTAGATCACACAGGACTGAATGGCACCTTGTTTTTATTGGGAAAAGGAATAGTGAAAAGTGTGAAAACTGTGGTGTTAAAGAAAATATTGAACATATCATTTTGCACTGCATATTGTTTGAGTTGGAAAGACAGATATTTCAAGATAGGGTTCAGGAAGCAGGGCGGGACTGGAATCTGATGGGGGTATAAGAATCACCAGGAAGGCATTATTTAAATTTCTTAAAGACACTGGGTTGGTGAACAGAATATGAGAGCACCTTATTGAGGTTGATAGCGGACTGATATGATGTTACACACTCCAGTACAGTAGGTGGCGGTATGCACTTAAAAGTTGTTTGCAATCCGCCATTAAAGAAGAAGAAGAAGAACCGACCTCAACACAGCGTCCACACGTCAGTATCGAGCGTCCCATCCCTAAAGATTTCTACAAAACAAAAAAAAGACAGCAGACACATTACAGACTGGTTATGTTATACAGAGGGAGCAGCAGGAGCAGCAGGAGGAGCAGCAGGAGCAGCAGCAGGAGCAGCAGGAGCGGGTCTGTTGTCTGGATCTGTTGTTCTCTGTTGGATTTTCTATGCTGGATCATGGCGGAGGCGCAGACTGTAGAGGACTCCGGATATCGCTAAGAAGCAGTTTCTTCCCCAGAAAGCAACAGTTTCTACCTGACGGGACGATGTGAGGGTGAGGAAGTCAGTTTAGTGACCGGCCATGACACAAATACAACATTTATTCTCTTTTATACCGCAGATTTATAGCAGGCAGTTTCATAGCTGCTGTTTGTGCAAACAAAAGATTAAACACATAATCAAATTGTGAAGAGTTATTTTCCACCACATTTTCAGTAATGTTAACTTAACCTTAGACCTTCCTGCCTGGACTTCACCCACCCAACAGTGTCGCAACAGTGAGGAGGCAGTGCAGCAGTTCCTCTGCAGCTCCCCTCCCCACTGTCAGAGAAAGAGCAGGTAACTTGAAAGCAGCAGACAGACTTCACCTCCTCTCTCATGGAGAAGTTTGTGTTCCTGTTGGTCCTTCTGTCTCCAGCAGCTTCTGGTAAATACGAGCTTTTATTGATTCATGGAGGCAGGAAAGATTATTTTTATAAAATACTGTCATCTTGTCCTAAAAGGTCTTTTGTAGGTGTTGTAACGGGGCCTTGGGCTCCTGAAGTAGCAGGATTAGCTTTTTTCCTCCTTTGGATAATGTAAGCTACTCATAGACTGTATGTAGCTACAGTTGTCCAAAAGAAGATAAAATGATATCGTGTAGCTTTTCGCGCTCAGCGTTAAACAGTGTGCAAAGACTTGCTGGCTGTACGAATTGATCTTGGTTGAAGTTTATGCGCGATTTAGATGTACAAATATTGATAGTGGTAGATATTTTGACGGAACATGCCAAGACCCATGCATTCAGACTTTTTAAAATGTTTTGGATCATGCAAATCAGTGACTGCTGCCAGCTTATTTTGTAACAGTGTAATCTGTGTTTATACAGTGAATAAAGTGAAAGTATTATTACAGTAGGCTATTGTCTCCATTCATTTTAAAAAGTGGATATTTACAATATTATTGATACATGTAAACATGTTGTGTTGCATGTGTGTTCATTTTTACGGATTGTACAGTTTGACAGTCCAGCAGGGTTCTAGTTACGGTGTGAGCTCTTAATCATCATCTGTGGGGGTCACTAATTCATTTACCAACAACCATTATTTTAAAGACAAATGGGTAAGATAAACACAAACACGTTTTCCAAATGAACTATGCTGCGCACCGCATGAACGTCATTACGACATGATTAATAATAATAATAAATATGAGACCATGAAGGGTTTGCGTCTCTCCTTGAGCAGTAGTCTTTGTTGGTTTATTTCAGGCTTCTAAAACTTTAGAAGGTCTGCATTTGTCTTAATATGTTGACGACGCTCAGGTTAGTTATTAGTCCAAAAGTAGATAAAAGAAAGATCTATATCGTTTAGACCGTTCAGTGAAGCTTTTTCACACTTAAACAGCAAAGTCTCTGCTGGCTGTATGAAATAATTTTAGTTGAAGTTTATGTAGCGTTACTACAACGGTGTTTCCTCCTGTCCTGCATGATTTAATCTGTCCCTGCACAGCTGATTGAAGCAGCTTCAGGATTCATAACGAGTTGGGGTTAAGTCTCTTCCTCAGGGACACATTGGTGGATCGGTCGCAGTGGGGGACTGAACCTGGGTCTCTCACAACAAAGACAGGCTATTTGATGGACTTTTTTAATGTTTTGTATAAATCAGTCACTGCTGCCGGCTTCTTTTCTAACTGTGTAATTTGTGTGAATACAGTGAATAAAGTGAAAGTATTTCTACAGTAGGCTGCTAACTTTTGTGTCTCCATTCATTTTTAAAAGTGGATATTTACAAAATGATCGATACAGGTAAACATGTTGTGTTCATTTTTACAGATGTTACAGTTTGATAGTCCAGCAGGGTTCTGGTGTCGGTCCATCAGGAGGTCTGAGCTCTCATGGAAGCAGTAAAATCCTGCATCTGTGGGGGGTCACTAATTCATTTACCAACAACCATTATTTCTAATCATATATGTATTTTCACTGAAATTATTATTGACATTAATAAGAAACAGGCTAAAATGAACTATGCTGCGCACCACATGAACGTCATTACAACATGATTAATAATAATTAATATGAGACCATGAAGGGCGGGTTTGTGTCTCTCCTTGAGCAGTAGTCTTTGTTGGTTTATTTCAGGCTTTTGGAACTTAAACTTTTTTGCAGTATTTCACACATCTGGGGCAAGTAGTGTGCTGCTGTGTGACCACGTAATGAGCAATGAAGTCTCTGTCTGTCCAGACTTCTGTTATTTATTTATTTAATTATTTATTTATTTATTAAACCCTGCCGGTAATGGACGTTATACTACAGACCCCCACGAAGCTCAAATTGTAGTCCAGTTTCCACAGTTACTCTTCAAAGGTAAATTATGAATGACAAGTGTGTGTGTTTCTTTTAAGATGAGGAAGAGAAGCGAAGTTACACTCTTAAACAGCGACGATGTTTTTCTGTGAATGGATGTGGCTGCTGTATGGACGGAATTAGAATAAATAAATGGTGCCTGGGGGGAAAAAAAATACTGTTACTAGTTGAATGATTGGAGCCTGTTGCGTTTTTCAGATTTTGAGAAAGGAGAGGCTCAGTTCAATGAAAATTAACAAGAAAATTTAATAAAAATATAGGTGAATAAAAGATGGCATTACAGAACAAACAACAAAACAAAAACACTGCAGTTGACTGGAAAGTTGTTCCTCTTTTCAGATCCACAGCTTACAGTCCTGATTCTCGCAAAATGAATTGTTAATATCCTCCAGGTATGTAGGCGGGTCTTTTCCTCCAAATGGCCCAGGACCATAGCCATTGGTCGTTTGGTCACTTCTTCGTCACCCAATTAGGAAGGGTGTACCTTAATGCTCTATATTACTTTTGGTCGAACAAAAGAGCACTGATCCCAGACGTGAAACCCCCTTCAATCTACAGGAATAAACAGTCTTTTGCTCTAAACTAATCATGGAGAACAACAGGGCTTGTCTACAAAATGGTTGACACCCTATCTTAAGTGTCAATGAAACAGTCAAAAAACTGTCCTTCTGGCACTAAACAAAGAGGTGTCCGTCTTCTTTACATTACAAAGAGGATACAAACAATGGTTTAATCAACATTCTAATGCAATCGTTTGGCCTAAAATCCTGCAGGTTTACATTTGAAGGAAAGCACTGAAACACTGGAGTACATTAAGTTTGTTTTAACTTTTTAAAACTCAACAAGCCATATGGCAATTGTTGCTACATTGGCACGTTAAGTGCTAAGATGAGTAGAATAGGCTCAAATCAACCTGCATCTGTAAGTCGCGTACATCTATACTCCAATTTTAATTATTTTATTGTAATTTAATGTAATTTTATTTGTCTACTGTATGCTTCCGTTTTTGGTTTGTTGATGCAACGAGTGAATTTCCCCATTGTGGGATCAATAAAGTCTATTCTATTCTTCTATATGCATCACAATGTTGAACCGTCCTAGTAAGTTGTTAGTCTGGCTGTAAATTTACAGAGTGTCCGTTAATAAAAGGCTGTTGTTGATCATCTGCTGGACAGTGAAGGTTACCACTAACGTCTCCCCCGGTCTTCAGACTCTGGTCTGGAAGCTGAGCAGGACACCAACACTACGTACTTTAGCAGCTTTGTAACGTTCGCTGCATTTATAGGAAGTAACGTTAGAAAGTAGCATGTCATAACTTTGCTTTAACATTACTAAGTCACACAGTGAGAAAAAATAAATCCTGTATAGAAAATAAACACTAAACATTTTATATTCACGCCGCAGCCCTCTGAATCGTAATCGGATCGTGACGCGTCTGAAGATTCACACCTCTAGTTCCCGTGATCTCAGGTTCTTCTGTTGAAGCAAAGAAATGTAATTACTTTTTCTCTCTGATGTTTTATTGTTTTTAGATGTGGTACGAGTGAAACCTGGAGATGATGTCATTCTGCCATGTCAGGCTGGTGAAGCCTCCATCAGAGCTGTAGAGTGGAGCAGACCAGACCTGGAGCCAGACTACGTCCTCTTTCACAGAGATGGACGCTCAGTTAAAACCCAGCAGCATCCATCCTTTAAGGACCGGGTGCAGCTGGTGGACAGAGAGCTGAAGGACGGAGACGTGTCTTTAATTCTGAAGAACGTGAGTAGCAACGACGCTGGAACATACGAGTGTCGAGTTGCAGCAGGTGGATCAAGACGTAAGAGAGCCATTATTAAGACTGAGCCAATCAGAATCATTCAGCTGGAGGTTTCAGGTGAGTTTGTGGAGGTCAGTGTGTCTGTGTGCCATGTTGTAGCTGCAGTTTATTCCATGTTGATTCTGAGAGTCAAACATGAGGAATATAGAAGATATAGAAGAGTAAATGGAGGCTGTTCCACTGTTCACTCATTTCCTGACTAATATGCACTTTGATCTTCAGGGTCCAACAGCGGAGACGTCGAGGTGGGAAACTACGGTCTTTACTACGGACTGGGAGCAGCTTTTGTGCTGGTTTGTTTAGCTGCTGTTGGATTGGCTGTTGACTGGAAATATAAAAGTCATAAGGACAAGAAACCAGAACAGCGTGCTGCTGAAGAAGCAGGGAACGACCTCTGATCTCTTTCCACCACATGTTTCATACATTCAACATGATTTTCAGTCTTTCTGTTGTGAACGTGTAAGTTTGAGGCTCTCCACCGTGATAATCTGCATCATCAGCTTAAACTTTTAATTTTCCCCTTCATGAATTGCTACCTTATCGTGGTGGAGGGGTTTGCGTACCCGTTGATTCTGGGAGTCGTCTTATCTGCATATCAGCTTTGGTCTAAAGACAAATTGGCCCCAGAGACGGATCAGACTAAATGCAATTCAAATATACACCGTTGGCCACGGATGGAAAAAGTACTACAATATTCTACTTAAGTAAACGTAAAGTTTCTTAAACTGCACTCAGATACAAGAAAAATGTAGATCAGTTAAAATCTGCTCTCAGTAAATGATGAAGATGTTATATGATAATGTCATGTGATTTGACTCTTAAATCAAAGACCAGCTTTCCAAAATAAAGTGCATTAACATGTCAGTGTTCACAGTGGAACATTTATTTTCTATAGACGCACTCTGCAGCCTGTTCATCCCACTAATGATCAGTTATAAATATCCAACCAGCTTCCTCTGTAGCTTCGCTGGAATTAACCAGAAAGAGACAAAACTCTGACGATCAAACAAAAATGTCTGACAGTAAATAAAAAGAGCTGTGGACACTGCAGCAGGTGCAACACGCTTCATTAAGCTACATTTAATAAGCTGCTACTTAAACAGCAGAATAAAGCATCAATAAGGCAGCACAGAGATCTAGAGACAATATAAACTCCACAGCAGCTGCAGCAGATAAAAATACTGAGGTACAAGTAAAATATCAGATATTTTAAAAACAATCAGACTATAAAGTACTTTGTTACAGTAAGGAGAGTAAATGTAGCTGGTTGTTTGCAGCCTCAGCACTGATGTATCACAGGGAGCTTCATGAACAGATTAACCAGCTGAGTTGTTGTTTTAGCTTGATATAGTAGGTGAGTTCGAGATGACGGCGGCTGTATGAAATAATTTTAGTTGAATTGAAGTTTATGTAGCGTTACTACGACAGTGTTTCCTCCTGTCCTGCATGATTTAATCTGTCCCTGCACAGCTGATTGAAGCAGCTTCAGGATTCATAACGAGTTGACAGTTTGAATCAGCTGTTTTGGAGCAGGGAGAGATCAATGCTTTGCTATTGTAACGCATATATATGTGCGTGTCAGAGGTCGCACGCCTCTGGAGCAACTAGGGGTTAAGTCTCTTGCTCAGGGACACTCACACCAAAGACAGGTGTCTTATCCACTGCGCCATCACCACCCCTTTATATGAAGAGTTATCCACAGAAAGAAACTACTACTCACCACAGCCACTGTTGGCATTTCCTAATTAAGCGTGATTTAGATGTACAAATATTGATAGTGGTGGATATTTTGATGGAATATTTGATGGACTTTTTTTAATGTTTTGTATTGTTGAGAATTATTTTAGAACATTACAGCCTAAATTGTTATCACTAATTGCTAGAGTGAAGGTGGTCTGCATTGGCATCATTTAAAGTATTATTTTAGAGTGTAAAGTTAAGATCACAACGCTGAAACTCTATAGCTCTGAGAGTGTGTGGTCCTCTCTGTGTCTAGCTGCCCATAGGCAGTAACAGTAGCATGTGTGCTCTGGGAGCAGAATAAGCACAGCAAGGCATCATCAAAAACCCAGCAGAGGAAAATGTAGAAGCAGAATTAGTGAAAATTGTGTTACAAAACAGACATCAATACAGTAAGAATGTCCTGTCTGTAGCACACAGCATAAGAGACACCAGCTTATTCCACAAAGTCAGGTCTTTGGTTAAAATAGCATGATCAGCAGAGGGCATGCCTAGGACACAGAGAGGGGGAGCTATCAGCAGGAAGAGAAAACAGTGTGGTGTTGGCTTTCAATCGGATGTACAGCTGATAAAACTGAAAAAGGTTTTAAAAACGATGTCCACAGATATTAAAACTTCAGCAGACGTCAGGACTTTCTGTAATAACTCTCACTAACTCTGAGAGTCTTTCTCACTTTTACTGTCCCACTTGTGAGCGAGCACAATGAACCTTCAACAGGCTGAGAGCAGATTCCTCTTTCTGCAGTCTGTCTTTATTCAGCATCTGGTGACCTTCCTCTCTAGTTCTGTAAATGTAAATGCTCCGTATTTGTATAGCGCCTTTCTAGTCTTTCGACCACTCAAAGCGCTTTTACACTACATCTGCATTCACCAGTCACACACATTCATACACTGAGCCTAAGTGCTCAAACGGAAACTAACATTCACACTCACTCATACACTGGCGGAACAGGCGCCAGGGGCAAATCGGGGTTTAGTATCTTGCCCAAGGACACTTCGACACGCAACCAGGGGAGCCAAGGATTGAACCGCCGACCTTCCGATTAACGACCAACCCGCTCTACCTCCTGTCTGTGTGGGAAAAATGTGATAAAAGAAGAAATAAATGCAACTTTCTCCTGTACGCCACACCTGGACTGAGGATATAAAAGGAGTTCACATGCAGCTGCTGTGTAGAGACTGAGCTCTGTGATCGTTACAGGAAAGAGGAAAATCTGGAACACATCCTGTTTCAGAGAGGTCAGTGGGAGATGTTGAAGTCAAAATGAGATCAGAGCTGCTTCGTACCAAACTTCTCCCTCTGAATGCCACTTTGTTCTCTGGCCACAGGCCCAGACATTGAGAGACATCAGATTTCCTCTCTCAGCTCCAGAGTTACAGTTAAAGAAAGTTAATGATCCTGTTTTTATTGACTCTTGGTTTTATCTGCTTTAGAAGCAGGACGCTGTTCAAAAGTCAACAGATAACTGATCTGAAGTCTGATATTTTAACACATTGTCACTCCCAACTCGTCACATGTGGACGCTTGGTCAAGACACCATGGCGTCACTTTTTAACGCCCTGGGAACCCTTTAGCTGTGTTTTTGAATATGTAGGGCTCTGCGCTCAAATCAAGAATAAATACGCAACGTCCTGTTAGACTTTTTGAAAATAAAACTAGAAGTTTATTTATTATTCATTCAGTCTGTAGCAACATCACCTTTACTGTCTGTACTTCTGTCTGGATATTGTGTCGAGGCAGATGGCCGCCCGCCCTGAGCCGTGGTTCTGCTCGAGGTTTCTGCCTCTTTAAGGGAAGTTTTTCTTTGCCTCTTGCTGCTCTTGGTGGGAATTGTTGGGTTTCTGTAAATAACAGGAACAGTGTTCACTTGTTCCATTTTCCACTCAAAATAATCACTGCTTCTGGCACCATCTTGGCTTCACTCCTAACACAACCAACAGAGCTGCTGTAGGGCGCCGCCCTCTGTTGGAAAGTGTTTTAAATTACAGCCATTAATTATTTAAATAACATGTGGTATTTAAATATAAATCATTATGGCTCTTGGAGAAATTCTGCAGTAGCTTCCTGTTTGTTCTGTCAGCAGTCAGTGCAGCAGCTGAGCCAATCACTGACTGAACAATGACAGTCTACTATGATCCTCGTAAGGGGAGCTCTGCTGTTATTGTTATGCTGAGTCGTGGCTTACTACTATTTCAAACACTGTGTTTGATTATATTCAAAGGGGGGGGGGCATTAAATCACAGCAAGGGTGACGCTCAGTGGCTTACACTCTCACTGGATCTTGTTACAGTTATAAATCTCAAAGCCAATAAAAAAGGTAAGGACATTTTACGAGGTCCTCCAGACCCGCAGGCCTGTAGTAAGTCCAAAAAACATGATTACGTTATTAACAAACAGGCTGCTGTTAGAACAGAAGTGCATGCAGGTTTGACTTTGAGTTGTAGAACAAGTCAGTTGTCTTTTATTTATTGCCACACAAGTGTCCTGGACAGGAAAACAGAAACTATGCTCTTAGGTTTACAGTGAGGGGGCCAGACACTGGTAAAGCAGGAGACCACAGGTCGGTGGTCTAAAGGCTGGAGGGGAGCTGAAGACCTCAGGCAAGCAGGCTGAAGACAGAACTGAACTGAGCAGATCTGGAGGGCGACCAGGCGGGCGATGGCGAGGGTAGAGACCCTCTGGAGGCCTGGCAGGAGGTCTGCAAAAAGACTGGAGACCAAGACCAGAGTCTGATGGCTGAAGTGCAAGAAAAGAGAGCAGCAACAGGTCAACTGGATTGGAGGCTGGCGATAGCTGCTGCAGTCCAGTGACGGGGCAGAAGGTCACTGCAACTCAGCAGAGTCGGGTTTTGTTGGAGTGCCGTAGTGACAGAAAGCTGCTGTAGCTGAACAGAGTCAGAAAGCTGCTTTGGCTCAGGAGCAGGGAGAATCTGCAGCTCTTGGGTTGGGGAGTGCTGCAATGCTGGCTGAGCTGCCGACCGGGCGCAGGACAAACGGGAAACAGGAGTTGGCTGGACTGGGGGAACCTTTGAGGTACTGGACAACATGGTCTCAGGGGTGCTTTTCAACTGAATCTCTGGAGAGCAGCGGCGAGGATGAGCAGCAGGGCAGCGGAGGCTCTCCGGTGAAGAGAGGCTGAATGGTTCAGTGGCGTCAGGAGCCATGGCGACCAGGTCTCTTCTTGTGGCCTCCGCGGGAACCCAGTGAAAGTATCCAGGTGAATCCCCTCAAAAGGCGAATGCTGGATGTGAAGGTGGCGAGCGGCCAAGGTGCATGCTGGTTGTTCAGAATGTAGACAGACGGGCAGGCAGGGAAGCAGATAGGTAGCAGGCAGCTGAGGTACTAGCTTTCTTAAACTTAACCAAGGAGCTTTGGTGTCTGAACCTAAACACATACTAATTTGTGTCCTGATTTTAAATGTGGGTTCCTTTTATGAGACTCTGTTACAGGTGGTGTGCCTTCAACTTAGCCTTATTGTGTGGTGTTTTATGTTTAGGTGGTGGTGCACCAGTGTGTGGTGTCAGGGCACACTTGTGGCCCTCAGGTAACCCCCTGCATTTCTGGCTTCTGTAGATGCTGAGGTGTTAACAATTTGTTTTTATCCTTTAGCATCTCTGCAGCATTGGCATTAACATCTTGTTGGTTTAGTATTGTTTGAGCTTGTGTAGTTAATAAAACTGCCCAATTTAGATTTTTAAATATTGATGTTTAATAAATCACCTTTGCAGTCGAAACCAATGTCTCTCTTATAAAGAAATGATCTGTAAAAATTCAATCCCGTGGGTTAAAATGAGAGATTATCATGGATCTGTTCCAAGCTTACTTATTTGCTTGTAGCGCTACGCTAACCTTTCTCCTAAGGACAGTAGTCCAAAAATGTTTAAGTACCTCAAAATTCATTTATAACAATTTCTTATATACATATTTATAATGTGCCTGACCTTCTTCTCATTGTGTGCAAAGTTTTATGATGTGAAAACCAGTGGAGGCTTATGGAAGTGAAAGTCAAATGTTCCAGCTTTTTAACTTACTGATTTGCAACATGCACACACAACCCACGCCACACTTTATGTAAACAAACGGATGTAAAACAAAGGAGAATGTGTTGCTCTCAGGAGGACGCTGTATTGACACAATGACATCCTGACAGATCTGTCACTGCAGAGGCTCTAACCCCAACCTGGAGGACGAAATAGTATAATAATAATAATATTACAACATTAACACAACATTTACAGTAGGTTTTAGTCTTCACTGACCCACTCTGCTTGTAAATCATTTAAAAGTGAAAGAGTTGCACTGCAGAGCCCTGCTTCACTGTACTGTTGTACATTATACTGTATATTTAATATAAATATGTGCGACATC